GAGAGAGAGGAGGGAAAGAGAGAGAGAGGAGAGAGAGGAAAGAGTGAGAGAGAGAGAGGGAAAGAGTGAGAGAGAGAGGGAAGGAAGAGTGACGAGAGAGGAGGAAAGAGTGAAGAGAGAGGGAGGGAAAGAGTGAGAGAGAGAGGGAGGGAAAGAGTGAAAGAGAGGGAGGGAAAGAGAGAGAGAGAGAGGGAGGGAGGAGAGTGAGACGAGAGAGAGAGAGAGGGAGAGGAATAGAGAGAGAGAGATGATGAGAAGACGAGAGAGAGAGACGGAGAGAGAAGAGAGAGCGAGAGAGAGAGAGAGAGAGAGAAAGGAGAGAGAGAGAGGAGAGAGAGAAGAGAGAGAGAGAATATACATTTTTCTTTCATTGGGCTTAATATCCTCATGTAAAATTCTTTCCATATATACATATTCAAAACACAATTCAGTTTCCCCCCTCCACCAATAGCTGTGGGATAGTCTCCTAATTTTGTCATCTTCTTCTTTTGACAGAAAACAATGATCTTTGCACATCATAAAGAATAATGTATCACTCTAATAGCAGCTATTGATAAGAAAACATTTTATATTTGTATATATATACAGCCACCTCTTTTAAGTCTCTTATGAAGAAGAGAAAAAAAAAATGCATGAATTTTGTGAATTGTGGGAAAAGTAAAAACAGTTTGCAAAAGAACAATGATGCCTTGGAATTTACAATAATATTGCCGTGTTAATGACCTACACTTTCCTTATATTGAACTTTGATACAGTTTAAAGCTTTTTCATGAAATTAATGTTCAAGACACCTGCTGGAAAATTAACGATACAGTGCAAAATAATTACTTTGCACTTTAGGCTATACCCATTAAAAAGAGACATAAAAAATAATAAAAAAACAATAAAAAGAAAGAAAAATTACAAAACTAAAGTTGGAGAATTTGGTAACATTCAAGGGAAGAGAAATCAGTAGTACAGGACATGATATAAATAAAGATGTATCAACTAGTCAATTTTAAAGTGGCATAAATAATTAGTTTCCTGGTAAAGTGTTTCATGTGCTGCTATAGCAAAAATATTCAAAATAATGGAAAGAATGGAAGACATATGCATGGTCCCATGCTCATAAACAACATAAAAATAATGACTTTGGACTTAAAGGGGCCAATATCACTGCTAGGCATACTCTGCATTAATATTCTATAGGTAAATTAACACCCATACCTGAACTATAACATCAGACAAAGTAAAGCTTCATTAAATGTGTAAAAAGTCTTTGCTCTCCTAGAGTTCCTAAACAATCTGTTCAGTTAATGCAGGTTGTAGTGTGAGTCAGTTGTCTTTTGGTCCTTCTATCTGCACTATAAAAACTTTCAGACATCTGTGAACACCAAAGAAAAGTGCAAAAAAAGTTGTGACCTTAATGATAGGTATTATACAAATGCTTACATTACCAACCTTTCATTCCTTGAAGTCTGTAATTTGTTACAATGTTGAATTTAAGTTCATTGTGCTTTTAAAGAGGTTTCACTGCACATTAATTAAGAGCTTGGATTTGAACTTTTATTCTTCCTTTTGTTTAAACCTTTATCAGTAGTAAGATAGATGTATAAATTATATCCCTTTTCTGTGTGTCTTTTTTGTTGAGTTCCTTACAAGACAAATAAACAATCAAAATTAAATTCAAACAATTTTTCTAACAAGTTTAAAATATAGCAACACAGACTGTTTGAATAATATAATTTGATTTTTATTTCAACAATGTAATTGCACATGAGGGTTTTACACTCTGGGATTTTAGACAAAAATAAAAATAATCTCTTCATTATACTCATGCAAACAAAGCAATTTTTTGAAGGCAAAGAAAGGAACAAAATGTAACTGAAAACATAAAAACGACTCCACCTAAAAGCAGGTTTAAAGGAGAACTGAAACCAAACCCACTCCCTAATTTCATGACCACCTGACAAGTTAGAAATTACACTTCAGTCATTCAAACATTCAGCCTATCCTTTCATCAATTATTTCCTCAAATGCTCCTCTTCAAGGAGCAACAAACAGCTACATAAAAAAAATAAAATAGACTAAGGGGTTCTTTGTGACCTATTTCTGTAAAATCCCTTTTCTGAGAGGTTAGACAATACATTAAATAATGAAGCAGATAAATTGCACACTCAGTAAAGATAAAAACTTACCCTTGACTGGTCTGTGCAGGCGTATTATCTACTCCGTTATGATTTACACTATGTACATCACTAATAGTTCCCAACAAGTCTACAGACTGTGTGGGAGTTGTGTCCATGGGCACTGGGGAATCTCCATTCACATGTGGCTCTTCAACTTTAACTGAGGCAATACCACTAATCAGGTCATCGACCATTGAGTTCTCTGTGGCTCGGGTCACCTCAACATTTGAATGCGTCAATTCAACACCCATGGAAGCTGAAGTCACATCGCTGGGAGGTGTTGCTGACTTGACAGCAGGTGTCTTAGAATCAGTTTCAACACCAGCTACTACAGCATTCTCCGAGACTGAGCCAGCACCAGGCTGTGATGGTCTGGATGAGGCATCACTTGAGGGCTGATCAGGCTGTGATGACATGTCACTTTGAGGCTGGCTGGAGCTCTCACTCTGGGAAACTAGAGCATTGATCATGGAGTCTGTCATGCTGCCACTCATGTCAGCCTCATTGAAGGCCTTGGTTTCATCAGATGGAGTCTTGGCTTCAGCCTAGAATATAAGGGATACCATGAGTAATAAGATCTATAAACCCCCTCAAATGTCAGTAACAGAAATAAGTAAGGCACAAATGATGTATGCTACAATATCCATTAGAAAAGAATGGTACATTTTCTCATACATCACAAAGTGAACTGATTATACACCCACTCAGTATAGATGTCACTTGACTGTTCAATAATATTCACCCTATTAACATGCTAAAAGCAAAAATAATTTAATCGAATTATATCATATCTGTACACTTGAATTTAACTCAAGTATGATTTATATCAAGTCGTATTCCCATAAAATAAAGGGAAAAATCATATATACCAATATCACTATTTACCAACGTTCACCAACCTTAACAGAGCACATACTTTAAGACTTGCAATACTGTAATGCAATGACAATCCATCTATTATGAGAAAAAGATGGACCAGAGACAATAACCTACTGGCAAGAGTACAAGCACTGTTCGCTGATGCTTTGTTTTAATTGATTTTTATTCTTCACAAGAACTTGGTCACAAAAGAGTCAACTACAAGGCCTTCCATACCTCACCTATTTACTCCATTCATTGATTATGACATTACTAAATTTGATAACTTTTTTTTTATATGAAAATTCAAGGAAAAGGGTAAACAGGTGAGATCAGGTAAGCTGAGAAGTTCTCATTTCTTTTGTATAAACAAATTTAATAAAAAAAAATCACAGTGGACTGCTTATGTATACATGTAATCCTGGTGTCAACAGGTAAAGGAATCATGAAATGAGCAGATGAAAACATAAGAATACATGTAAACACTTCAATGAGCACTTCCAAAACCCTGAGTAATCAGGGCTGGATATAGCACACACAATTCTACCAATAAATTTGCTAGCAATGTCATATTTCTTATGATAAGAAGAAAATATCTTAAGACTTCCACAAATAGCTATATTTACCCACAAAGCCAACATCAGTTACTACTACACATTTTGCATTTTCCCAATATGAACCAATGAAGACTCCTTGGCACAAATACACTCTTGGTATTTTAAACTTCAAAATGCAGAGCAACATACAGAAAACCAAGCATTGCATGAGGCTTGAAAGTGTGTAGCACCTGCTACATGAAAAGTCTTATTCAAAATACAGTTATACTTTATTAATGACATCATGAACATTTCTCTTTTTACCTTGGAATTCGAAATATTAACTTCTACTTTATTCCATAACAAAACCTGAAAAAGCAATGTGGAATAGAATTCAAAAACAAAACATCTACATCATGAAATAGGTGTGGAACTATTCTTCAAGGTAATTCTCAAGTACTTAGATTTATCTCTATACCTTCTGGTATAACAATAAGAACCCTTATAGTATTAAACATAAAAATAAACCTTTAGTTCAACTAATTCACTGTCTTTCATTAAGATCTGACTCGCTAATGAACATAGAATCTTTTCTATAAGAATAATAAGAAAAAACTGAAGACTACTTAAAACACAAAGGTGAATAAATAAATAACCACATGCATTTACATTCAACCCAAAGACAAAAGAGACCTTGGTAGGAGTGTTTGATCCTCCCTTGCCACGAGTCCTTGCCATGATGGCTGCAACACGGCTCTTGCGGGCCTGACGCTCTTCTTCTTCACGGCGAAGCTTTTCCTCTGCCTCAAGACGTTTCTGTTGCTCTATGCGCTCATTCTGAAAAACAAAATAGGAAAGTCAGACAAATAAAAATAATCAGGAAAATAATGACATTAGTGGTTATATTAAGAATAACAGTAACTTATAATAATGATAATAATACCTCTTCCCTCTGCTTCTCTTCTTCTTCCTTTTTCTTTGCTTCTTCTTCTCGCTGGCGATCAGCTTCCTCAATTGCCTTTCTCAAGCGCTCCTCTTCAGCCTTCTTCTGCTCTTCAATCATCTTGAGGTACTCTTGCTCCTCTCTTCTTTCACGCTCTTCCTCTGCCAACTAAACAGTCAGTGTTAGTTTACCGTAATAACAGTTATTTGATCTTATTGAACACAGTCCTGCTTAATCTCTACAATCCTGGATGATATGACTATCACATCATGAAAAAAACTGGCTTGCAGGGTGGGTGACACGAACATGCCGTCATGTGAAAATCTGGCTGTGGGCCAGGGTGATGCAAACTTGCAGTCATGGGCATTTTGGCTGAAGGCCAAGGCGACGGGAAAGACTCGACACGAATGCACACATTGGGCATTTAGGAAGGGACTTTTGCATTATTTCTATCAATAAGCGAGCGTGGAATGTAATGTCCATGAGCCATGACTGGAAGAGCACCAACTCAAGAAAGGTTGCTATTCCCATGCACAGGATTCCATTCCTGCCCACACAAAGACCGGTGGCACAGGTTGTATTACAAAAAACTGAATATGAAAAAAAAAAGACAAATAACAAAACATTAGTTATTGTTATTCTTCTTGCACTGAGTTATGGACTACCTAGAGAGATGATATTGAGTCTGTGCAAGGAAAAGTGTATTACTATCTGGATAAAGCAAATCAAATGACAAGTATGGACATTGGAAATTGGCAAAAAATCTAAAAACTTTTATGCAGAAAAAGAGAAAATAACATTGCAATGGGGAGGCATGAAGTTCATGCCTACAAGCTGCACACCCATCATAGTGGCCAATCAAGTAAGCCTAATACCCGCATTTTTGAGCCAAGTAGTGGCAATGAAGCACCTGGATCCAATGGGATTAATGAATGAACTACATAAAAATAATTAAAAGGAAATCTAAGTTCTTTTTTGTAAAAAATAAATAAATAAATAAGTACATAAACAAATCAATAAATAACTCCCTACAATGGTAATTAGAAATACTAGCAGGAAACAAAATGTAATGGTAATTACAAAATTTAGCAGGACACAAAATGTATAACTCCTGTATTCCAAATACATGATTTGTTATCTTCTATATTGGTTGTATTAAAAATACTTTCCTTTTCCTGATCAAAACATACCTGTTTCTGGCGTTCCAATTCAAGCTCTCTTTCCTTGGCCTCTCTTGCCTGACGCCGCTTTTCTGCAAGGGCTGCCTTGTAATCCTCCTCTGTTGCATACCCGGTGACAGGCTTATCTGCTGCCTTCTTGATCATGGTCTTCTCGGACTCCTCAGTCTTCTCCAAGTTCTCCTGAGAACCTTCCTTTTCCTTTGCTTTTGGAGTTTCGTTGTTTTCAGGCTCTTTTGCAATTGATTCTTGTGGCTTAGTAGGTGTGGGTTCCTCAGTGGGCTGCAATTTAGCATCAGTGTCATTTACTATGGGTTCAGCTGCAGGTTCAGCAGTGGGTTCAGCAACCTTTTCAGGCTGGCTCTCCTCAACAGGGGCAGGAACTGGGGCCTCCTGGCTGGCATCTGCAGTATCAGGCTTTACTTCTGCTGTAGCATCAGTTTCTGTCTTCTGCTGTTTAGTTTCCTTGTTATTCTGCTCAGCAGGTTTGTCTTCCTTTTGTGGAGAGGCCCTCTTTTCTTTTGATCCAGGAAGAGGTTTGCTTTCAACTGCCGGAGAATGCAGAGGGGTTGTCTTTGGAGTAGTCTTGGTCTTTGGTGTTGACTTACTCTTCTCTACAGCTTTTTTAGCTGCATTCTCAGCCTTAACCTGTGACGGAGTTTTCTTAGGTGTTGTAGCTTTTACTGGTGTGCGTGCTGGAGTGGCTGGAGCACTTCTGTCAGAGCCTGCACTCTTGGCCCTTGCTGGTTTTGTAGATGAAGTTGAGCCAACAGACACTGAAATAATTATCAGATCATATGAATAGTGGAATATATAATACATTAAATAAAAGAAGTATGTAAGACAAGTCATGGAAGGCTCGGAAGGCCTAGAAATCACTCTACAAAAGCTTTTTGGAAAGTAAAGAAGAGCAGGATCTGAGACAGCAGGCAAATCACAAGGCAAAGCAAAGAAGGTTTAGATATAGAAAACACATACATTTCCTCTCCATGGGCCTGCTTTCCCTGGAGGGTGTAACGGCATCTCTGGGTTTATCAGCTGAAGAGAGCGAAGATCCAGCAATGCTGAGAGGGCGAGGCTTGCGGGGAGAGGTGCGGGATCTGAGGGACACTTGGCTGCTGTTGTTTGATCCCTGACTCAATGCTGAGGTGGGACGTGAGGGAGAATTCGGGGTGACCGTTCCACTGCGCATGCCTGTGGGGGCAGAGCAAGCCAGCACGCTGTGTTAAGCTGGGCTTCAAACAATATACAGAAGCCAGCATAAGCTTGACAGACACACAAACACATATATGACATGACAAGTTTATCCATGGAAAGTTTTATGGACAATATGCTCATCTGGTCTTTCTAGCAATGTCTAATTAGAGTTGATTTTAATGCAGATGAATTGTAGACATGGCATCAGATTGCCATCTTAGCAAGTTTGAATCTCTATTCTATCATAAAGCACAGAACACAGAGCTAGAAGTTGCTACATTAATATCATTAAGACAGGATACTATACAGGTCATTCAAAGTTCTAGAACACTTGGGAGTAAATCAAAGAGGAAAAAAGAAGATGAAGGACCTAAGTGGATCTATATGTTAGCAGATGTGTGCTGTAGTATGTCAGATACAGTACTGCAAGATTAGAGGATCATTCAGGCATTTAATACCTGCTCAAACAAACGTCCTTTTCTTTGAAATGCAAAGTATGTATATACACAAACACACATACACCCATCAACATGTATCAGTTTAGTAATGTTTTTAGTAGGTCAAAACTTTGTTAATATCAGTAGTTGTTCATAACATATTGGTTAATTTGTTACCACATACCAATCAAGTGACAATTAACAACAATATTTCCAAACACTGCTGTTTGGAAAAAACTTCCAAGCTACTTATACTATACCTTTATTTCAGTTGATGGTGTTCCCACCACTTGTCACTTACCTCCAAGTCTACATAAGCCTACTGACTGACTTCACTGATGAGCAAGACTCAGGGGGGAGCCAAGCAAACCTACCATCAAGCTAAACTTTGTGGAGAAAATTATCTCAGTGGGAAGTTTCATCTCACAAGCAAACACAAGCTCAAAAGGCAAAAAATGACTGAATCAATATTTTCACATCCAAGTGGGTTGCATATGTGAGGGTGGCTGGAGTGTAATCTTGTAAATACTTGTGATTTATGTGTATTTCAGTATAAGAATGTAAATGCTTTTGTATTTTGTGATTCAGGCGTGTCCATTCAAGTGTAAAGAACTGAACTTAGTTTGGGTGTCAAGCATTAACCTGTAATTCGAAAAGAGCATCATGCTATACATTCCATACTTGATTTTGATTTACATCTTTCTGATAGTGGTAACTGCTGTTGAAACTTTCCCATTTCCTATCTTTTGATTGAAAATTCAGACTTATTTATTCCTGTCATCATCACACTTACAAAAAATGCTATCCCTTTGAAAACAAATCCTCTATAGAGAATGCCTATATAAAAATTGAGGTCAATAACAGAATTATGCAAAAATAATCCATATATATAAACTCTGAAATGATTACCATACTTTCAAACTTGTACTAATACTCCCTATTGTAGTTCCAGACTAATGAGAGAAAAAAATAAATATATATTTGTTAACAAATACATTATTTCCAGGAGTGTAATAACTGAGGTGCAAGTGTATACAGAATGTTATGAAAGACTGATTGCAACAGGAAATAAAGAGAGATATTAAAAAGCTATAGAAAGTGGGAAAATTTCAGAAAGACTGACACATTAAAGAAATCCATCAACCAATGTTTGTGAATGAAAAAGTTTCTGTGTTGCACTATGTCTCCTCTGGATAGACTGATTTCTGTCATTAAGTAATCCAATGTCAGGCAATCAATATAAAGTACGATTGACTTGAACATAAGTCACTCACTAGCACCACACAACCAAGTTTCCTGTCTAGAGCATACATCTACAAGCTAGATTTGTAGCCTCAACTTGTTTTTGCAATGTTGTGGCCCTTGATTGACTGTCATAAAAAAAGCCTTTAAAAAAAGTCTTAGACTTAGCATAAAATTATATCTTCTGCTCCTTTTACATATGTGGGATCTCTTATAATTGAACTTACCAATACAGCACAAGAAAGAACAAACCTTTGCTCATACCTGATACTTTGTAAGTCTTACGTGACCATTCTATAACACAGTAACATTTTCATTTCCTTTAAGCAATGTAAAGATTTCAGAATAAACAATTTCTTGGTAATCAACAAACACTGAAGGACGAGACTGAAAAAAACCCACAGAACATGTCACAAACGCCTTGTCCCTAAATCTTAAATAAAACCATTTTGTGTCTTAAAACCATTGGATACAGTGTGAGAGTTTCCTTGTTGTGTGGAGCTACCATGTTACAGAGAATCATACCATCATGCTGGAGAAGCCATGGCACTCACAGAACATCACCAAAGTCAGGCAGGTAATGAGATAGCACAATACCCCAGAGGAAGCAGAGAGGCTGCGAGTGAGCAAGGAAGAGACACGGGGGCAGAAGCAGGGTGGGACTCAGACTTTCTTATCCCTATTTGAGTTATGGGTAACTCTTGTTGTAAATTTTAATATTCATTAGTGTGAGCTGTGTAATAAATGATATTCCTTTACCAGTTTAATATATTATGAAAATAATTAATAATCAATTGTTGTTAACATGGTGACATAATAGTTCCAAGATGGATTTAAGGCAACATGTTATTTAACACAAGATGACCAGAGAAAATATAAGTACAATTTACTAGGACAAACAAAAATTGACTTTTCACTTATTCTAATAGTGGTAGTTTCATTTCATATCAAGAACCTAAAGTTTTTAACCAATTAACAGTGTGAAAGTCAGAATGATACTCTACAATACACATACAAATCATTAATGTGATGGTGGCAAAAACATCTGCACAAAGTAGCAATCATAGTGATCCACTCTAGACATGTACAATATTTTCTAGCAGCCTTGCAATGTGGAACAGACTATGGAACATTTTTACAGAAAAAAGCTTCACAGTCACCATCAGCAGCAGACTCTATCTATTGCCATTCTACTATATATATATATATATATAATATATATATATATATATATATATTAATATATATATATAATATATATATTATATTTATATATATATATTTTAATATATATTAATATATTATAATATATATATATTGTATATATATTATATATATATATATATATATAATAATATATATATATATATATATATAAATATATATATATATATATATTTATATATATATATATATATATATATATATTTTATATATATATATATATATATATATATATATATATATATATATATATATATATATATATCAAGTGCCTCATACATATTGCCAGATTACATCTGTAGGAACTATCATCTGCCCATGCATATTTTTCTTATCTTGCATATATATTTAGGTCATTTTGAAAAATATGATTCAAAAGACATTTCATTTCAAAAGCAGTTTGGAAAGAGTAACATTAGCAAGTTATTATATACAAGTGTTCAATGTGATCCCATGAAGAGTGTGAGTCTGGGTCCCAGAGCCTGGCATGCAACCTACCTTGTGTTGTAGAGCTACTCTTCGTACTGCTGGTACTGCTGTCTCCACTGGATGTCAAGGCTACACCTCGCAGTTTTTTCTGTCTAAGCATCTCAGCACGTGTCATACGAGGCTGTGCCAGAGTGACAGAGCTGCGAGATACTCCTCTGTCCAATTGGCCACTTGTAATGTCCAGAGCGTGGCCAGTCTGGGTTCTGGTAGGTCGAGGGCCCAGGTGACACATGCTCTTGGACATGGTGCGAGCAGGCTGACTCATGCGCACAGAAGAAGGGGTAGTCTCATGCAGGGGTGCAAGAGGGGGGTTGCGTTGGCGTGGCCGGGCCAGTTCATCCAGCCTCCCCAGTGACAACGCCCTACCTGGCGATCGATGGCGAGGACTACTTCGAGTGCTGCCAGATGAGTCTCGCAAACTCGGCATTGCTGGCATCAGATCCGTACGTCGTCTTGCCGCTGAAGCAGGGATTGCTGCAGTCATTGATCTTGTCATAAGATCTTCACCTGCACACACATATATGCATTAATAGATTAGTATTAAAATAATTACTATTATCCTTAATTAAATACAAGTGGGTAACTCTATTTTCTGAAAACTTTCAGGGCTTACAATATTTCCAAGTTCCATCAATAGGTGAAGCATATTCCTTTATACATAGTAAGTACAAAAAGAGCAAAGATATTTATGCTGTCTGAATAATAGTGACTAATTCTGTTACCATCAAATTAAACAATTTACAAAGATTTACAGATTTACAGACACTGACACCCTAATAAATGCCCTGCAGATCAAGAGTGCAATTTTATAATGTACAGTTCATATTTAATTATTACTATAAAAGCACAGAGCACTGCTCAACTGATGTACAAAATTCTGAGGTATAAGCATCTATTCCTGATTACTTCATACAGCATCAAATAATATATCGTTACTCTGCTCTTTATTTAAAAATCAGTTTAGAAGTAAATCTAGAAGCATCTACTGGTCATCAGAATGTACACGCACTGGAAATGAATTACATATAAAACTGCATTTGGCAATACAGAAACTTTTGATTCTTTAGACAGACTCCTATTACTACACTACAATGCCAATAATAGCATAGCAAAATTGCTTATCGAATATCTGCTGGTAATAAATGAGTAAATACATGAACAACTTCTTTGTAATTTCATTAATTCTTGATCCATAACAACTCCCTTTCCTAAACTAAATTCTGATGAATACAAAATTACATCAACATTAAGGACAAAATTTCTTTTGGAAATATATTTAGTAAAATATTACAATATGAAAGACATCATATCCATTCCACACAAACAACCCAATGACATCAAGAGAAAAGCTGCTTGTTGACTTAAAAGTGAATGCAATATATACTCATATGAATGTTCATCAAATAAGGTTATTATCTTGACTTTACAAATGTATTCCCTCAAAAAAGTTAAATGCAGCAATAAAGTATCCATATTCATGAGGACACTGACCTGTTTTGATAAAAAGGTTCTTTATATCTTTATGATTTGTGACTGATATCAAAACACTCTGACATTAATGGTCCTGAAATTCATCTGTATTATTGTCAAATGGAAGTTCTGAATGAGTAACTGAAACAAATAAATGAGTAGTAAAATACACCAATATTTGGAATGAACCAAAATATTCCATAATAAATGGCTAATAATTGAACAAACTCTCTACAGTCACAAAAAAGCACACAATGATGCAACAGAATAAATACAGAAAGAAATACAAAAAGAACATCTGGAGGACCAACTAAAGTAGCTGAGATGGCACCTGAAAAAATGAACGAGCACGAACATGCTTTAACATATTAATACCATGCAGATAAGAAAAATAATAATATAGCAAAAAGACTGCAGACAAATGCACATAGATGAGGATCTATCAAGGACTAGGGGAACTCAAAGATCAAAAAGCATTTGATCTATTTCTTTCTTCTTTTTTTCATTTTGTTATCATCAATTTGGAGTATACAGAACTGTTTTTACTCCCTGGAACCAAAGGGTCCTTCAATTAACAATCTCTATTGTTTTATTGATCACGGTGTGAATATGGATCCCACTCTCTAGAAGCCAATGTTAATGGAAGTGATTAACTGTGATGACCAATCTTAACCATTCCAGATAGGCCTAATATGCATTCATTTCTCCAGACACCTTTTTAAAAAGTTTGGTTAAAGGTAAATATGAGTTATCATTATTAAAGCTCAAGTCCAACAAATGCCACAAGACAATACTATTGAATACTTAAGGGTCTCTAAATATAAGAAGAAGCAATGAACACCATTCTCAGCTGTTAAAAGTAAGACATCTACAAGTAGAGCATTCCTTCAGGAGGCATCCTTGGGTTAGCCAACTTGCAAACTCACCACCAAAAGTGCACCCACCCCAGTAAATACAGAAGCAGTTCTACGAGAATAGCACGTGGAAGATGTGGGTGTCGTGGCCGGTGAGGGAGAGGCCAGGTTGCCGCTACCACCGCTAGTTTGATTTGCGGGACCCAGCGCAGTGAAGTTATCCCCAAACTCCCACACACAGAAACGTGATTGGGATGAGTGTTTGGGGTTTTGTCTGAGGATGAGGATGATGTTGAAGAAGGAGGAGCAGAGGCATCTTGGAAGAGTGGTGGTGAGTAGATTTAGGAGGCTGAGGGGTTGAGGATCTGACCAAGAGAGGGCAGAGGGAGGGGTTTTGCGCTCCAGTGACGAGTCACGTGACTTGGTCAGCCGGGTACCTTGGGTAGTAGGGGGATGTTTTTGGTAGGTAGGGCTGCTGTCGTCCCAGTGAAACACTTCATACATCGAGCTCGACATACGCAGGTCTGTAACAACAATGTAACACTGTTGAACAGACATGCAAGGTGCAGCTTAGCAAGGGCAGTCGTAACTTTCTCTTGGAGTGAATAAAGAAGGAGCATTCTGTATGACTGACCATAGGTGTGGTGCAGTGATGAAGTCTGTGAAATGAGCAAGTGCTTGATTTGCTGTTCCAAACCCAAATGTGCTCTGTGAATGAATATACTGTGCAAATGTATAAATAACTTGATGCATCTCTTTCCACCGATCAGTAGTAATCTGGCGTATCCATATATGTAACTTAAAATTATAAAATCCTGTGTTTGATTCATGTATGAAGGAGGACTGGAGAAATGCAATGTCCAGAGTGTGACCTTATATGTGACACTGTGAGTGCATGAACTTAGAGAGTGTTAATATCTCCCATGTACAACTTCCTTCCTGTTAGTACATAGCATGGCCTGCTGTTTACTTGCCCTCCACCAGCTACAGGGAAATGAAGTAAACATTGTTCATGAATAATCTTGTAAAAATTCAATTCCTTTGCAAAATAACACAAAAGACTAAGAATTTTAAGGGATTTCTTCAGCTTAGGTTTTTATCTAACACAATCTATTTAACAACAGAACAATTTATATCAAGGAGAAAATCGGATTCAAAACCATATAACCTAACATAATTTTATGAGCGTCTTTTATAACTATCACTACTCAAATTCATTTCAAGATAATTACTTAAAAATTATGCATCAAGCCTAAATAACTGAAGCAAAGGAAATAACCATCACTGTAGCCAAAAAATCAATATTGCGGCAACATCAATAACAACTTGCATACACTGCCAGATAAAAAACCTCAACAAAATCTAGCACTAAGTAGGGGCAACTGGTCAAGGCCTTCTTCACTGCTGGAATAAATTTGTTAAAAAAACTAATAACAATTATAAAAATAAAAAATAAAAAATAAATGAAAAAGGTATCCAACTTTCCTATGTATTTATCAAAATACATATAAATATATCTCATATAAAAATAATGCCAGATATGTCTTTTATGCAATCAAAAATTGCACACTGACAGTAAATAAATGTGAACTTTAGGGGGCCATATATTTCACTCACAAGTATGCAACATTGCTAGGGACAGAATCCCTCTTTAGTTGAAATAAACGAAACATTGGTGCACAATCTGTGGTTATAATGGTACGGAATGCAGCACTCAGGCAACTACCTTCTGGCTTCCTGTCAAGGCTGTGGGCTGAAGTGGCGCGCTTACGGCTTAGGTCCATGTCTCCACCCTCTGATGCTCGCCTACTGATATTGGTATCTGCTAAGTGGACATTTGTTGTGAGGTAGCCTATAGATAATGGAAGGGGGAAAAAAAAAAAAAATTATGATGAAAAATAGAGCATTACATTACTTATATATCCCTTGTAATGTAAAATACACATAACATATATATAATAAATTTTGAGCTTTTTGTATTCTGGACTATAATTCAATGTCATTTTTTTTTAATAACTCACCTACGAGATCCCCAGAATGTACTGGCACTATCTTTGGGATCCAACATACGAGGTGTGGAACTACCAAAGGCAAATACTATGTTGCTTTTTTCATTCCGTCTTTTTGATTCCAAGCGCTGTTCACGTTCCTGTGCGCAAAATCAAAGTCAAAATATATATAAAGTAGAGAAAAAGAGACAGTAGAGTAGAATAGAGAGAGCGAGAAAGAGAAGAGACAGAGAAAGAGAAATAGAAAGAGAAAGAGAGAGAGAGAGGGAAGGAGGAAGGGAGGGGGAGGGGAAGGGAGGGGGGAAGGGAGGGAGAGAGGGAGGGAGGGAGGGAGGGAGGGAGGGAGTGTGTGTGTGTGTGTGTGTGTGTGTGTGTGTGTGTGTGTGTGTGTGTGT